TAAAGATATCTTTACAGCACCAGGAGAGAATAATTTTGATATTTCTACACTCCAAGTACACAAAAAAAAGGCATTTAACAGCAAAAATGTGTTTTTTTTCCTGAAATGTCCCCTTTAATGTGTTGCAGTTAAACGACCAGAAAAAAAACTGAGTTTGTTTTTTATTTTCAAAGCAGATTGATTTATTTCTACATGCACATTTTAAAACGAGTGTAAACTGCATGTAAACCTGATATTTCAGGTATGAACAGTAGGTGTAAACAGTACAAAATTTGATGCACTAAGCTCTGAAAAATAGTTTAACAGTTCAGCGCTGATGGATGAGGTCCAGCGGTGCGACGAGGAGCCTCATCAGAGCTCATCGTGCATCAGGAGTTTGGCTTTCTTCATGTTTTCAGCCACTGTCAGAGAAGACAAGAGGAAAACAGAAACCACAGGGTTGTTATGTTGTGTGTTGCTGCTGATGGAGCAGCTCGTAAACACGCTGCAGGACGAGCTGCTTCGCACGAGTTTGCCATAAGCTTTGAAGAAAGCTGCAGGTTTATCCACAGATCTGTGATCCAGACACGCAGAAACTTCAAATGTTGAAAATCGATAGTTTTTCTTTATGAGTAAAAACTTGTGAAATCAATATAAGGAACATTTTTCATATTTTTATATGGCTTATATGTAATAATATATGGAGGACTGACACTGACATAAAAAAAACTGACAAAGACACAGCTAAGTGTTTTTATCCTTGCGTTCGTTTTAAACTAAACTTTAAACTTTAAGCTAAACTGAGGCAGCAGCACAAGCATGCACAGCAGATCTGCACATGGATCCTGCTGCTTCCTGTCTGTAGACCAATAGGAGAGGAGCTGACGCAAGAAGGCCCGCCCACCTTGTTTGCATAATGAGGCATAAATGTGTAAGGCAACGTATAAACAGGAGACAGAGAAATGTAAAAGCAACACATGGAAATAAAGTGTTATTTATGAAAAATAACAATATAATAATTTAGGAGATATAAATGCATGCGCAAATAAATAAAATATGTATATTTTTAAAAACAGCAAAATTTAAATTATGTTCTAAAATATATAATTTAATGAAATTACGCTGGAAAATAAATGTGAAGGTCAATTAAATTATAAAACATGAGGTAAAGTTCTYCTTTTTTAACCTAATTGGTGCATTTTATGTGTTTTTATTTATTTACTGGTCCATTTATATATTTCTGCTTTTATTTCTAATTATATTAGTTTCGGTCCTCCATAATAACAAACATGGTGCTCTGAACAAATCCAAAGTTTGTCTCAGATAACTTCAGCTTTAGAAAAAAAAAGAAGTCAGAAACATTAGCTGTGAACCCTCAGAAATGAAGGAGTTTAGTATATTTATCAGTGTCATCTGAAAACATTGTGATAAAATACATGCCTGATTAATTTTAAAAGACAAACTGTTGTTCCAGGTGATGTTGGAATCCCTTCATAAAATGTATTTTGTGTTAAATGTGAACTCTGCTCAACGCTACAGGCTTCTTCCTGCTCSTCAGACCCTGTCAGAGGCTGAAACAGGAGTGTGTGTCGGCTGCTGACAGGTGAGCAGAACAGTTATAAAGAGTTTAGAGTCACTCACGGTCCTCCATATCCTCCGGCTGGTAGGTGTAGAGGCTGTTGCTATACTTTCCTACAAGGTCTGTGCGTACAGTCAGAGATGGATCTGCACAAGGAAACAAAACAACACTGAGCTCCCTCTGGGTTCTGAAAATAATTTTATGTTTTTTGTGATGTTTGTTCAAATCAAGAACTCTAGAACTCTTTTTAAAATTCATTGCGATCAAAGTTTAATTTAGACTCTTGTAATCTGATTCCTCAGACTGCAGAACTGAGAAAAAACAGATTCTTTTAATTCTCATCAGGACCACATTTGTACCAGGAGTTACAGTATGTCCTCAAGCAAGTGCACGACTTCCAAGCTCAATGGAATTTAAATTATACCTAATTAATCTTAAAAATGCACATTTAGTTTTCAAAGTTGCAAAAAACACTATTAATTAAATAAAACAGTTTTAAAATGCAAATATTTACCAACAAAGAGGATTCTGGGAACATAGTAGCCATCAGGAGCCAAATTCTTGTCTGATGTTTCTTCCTATTGAAAAACAAACAACAGTTATACATCCATCCATCCATCCATCCATCCATCCATCCATCCATCCATCCATCCATCCACCCACCTATCCATCCATCCATCCATCCATCCATCTATCCACCCACCTATCCATCCATCCATCCATCCATCCATCCATCCATCCATCCATCCATCCATCCATCCAT